GCATAAGTAAGAGAATATTTCGAATCGAGCTGGATAAATTTCGTTTACGTGAACCGGAAAGTCGTGGAGGAACGTCTGTCATTTAGAATCGTCGTAGGAAATTCGGAACGTGAATCAGATGAATCATTACGAGGCGAGAGGACTCGTCCCGAAACGATTATTCGCCTCGTTCGGGTTCGATTAACCGTCGCGGCTACTTGAACGAGTGCGAAATACGCCCACTAAATCGTTAACGCACCGGCCACCGTCGATACCCGCGTCGCACTTCAAGGTTTTATGCAAATGACCCGACTCTATATATAGGGACACGCACGCGTGTGTGTTCCGGCGCGCGAGCGAGCGGGGGGGAATCGATAACGACTACCCAATAAAGTCGTCTTCTCTCCGGTTCCGTTCTGTTCCATTCCGCGGCTGGTGGCTCGGCTCTCCTGATATCGAACGCTGTACTCGGTTCTCGTATCCGTAATATGTTTATTTATTTTTTCCTCGCCTTTCGGTATCGCGTACGATCGCCTCGCGGCGTGTCGCGCCAGCGCGTCTGTCTACATTGTGCACCTGCTCCAGAGGGATCGTGCAAACGATGCGATTAAATAATTTGTTCGCTCGTAATGGAGTAATAATTAAAAGATTTTAGGGCTACCGAGAATTCTGCTGGTCCAATTAAAAAACTCATTAACGACGTACGGCTACGACGCGGAATATACTTTACGCGGTAATGGGCGTTATTAGCGCGAACGAGATTTCACGAAGAACGCGTCCAGTTCACAATTCCAGCGCATTTTGTTCTCGCGAAAAATAAGCAATAAGTGGATTTATGCGCTTTTAGGAAAATTGGATTACACTGAATTACTCCCTGGCATGTCGACTTCGAATAACTCGCAAGAATATTTGTCATACGTTTTAAAGCATTTGAAGAAGACGTATTTCAATGGAAACAACACGAAAGTCCACCTGGAAAAGGAATTAAATATTGCAATATGCACTCTGTTTTTTTATATTTTCTACATTTTACATTACACGCAGTGTTTACGTTCCTTGCATATTCACTTTTCTTATAAATGCATAACATGTGCAGTCTAATAATAGTGTAACGATGATACGATGCAAGGATACGATGGGAGTGCATACGCGGTTTTAGAAAGAACGTTTTATGCAGAAATACTGGAGTCGTTCTCCGAAGACGATGTTCTCGGTCCGGCGCGGCGGTAATCACGTGCAAATCGGAGGCGTGTCCGGGCTCAAGCGGAAAGTCCTTCTGCGGCCGCTAATGCGTTCCCCGCGATCATCGGCGCGCTTCCGAGAACGGGCACAGGGCGTGTTTCGAAAGTTTTCGTGAAACGTCAAAACGAGGCGAAGACGTTGAACCTGTCGCCGCGACGGATCGCCGCGGCCTTCCCCCCTGCGTCCCTCTCTCTCTCACGGAACTGTTTGTAGAGGGCAGAAATAAATTCTTGACGAAATTCTTAAAGAGACGGACAGCGTTTATGCCCGGTCGATCGACCACGCTTTAATGACACGGCAGTTTGGTGAGGACGATCGTTTCGAAATCACTGTCCGGTCTAACACGACCCTCCTCAAATCAGCACCTGCCTAACCGAGATCACGAAAAATCTTGCTCAGTCATTCCATTCGGCTCGACTCGACGCCACTCAACTCGTACACAGTCACTAGCTTAGATGAAGCCCGATGATCGTTGGTGCTGTTAGTCTTTAGCTAGGTCAGTCCCTGTTTACGAAATTTTACAGAAAAGTCTACAGGCTGATGTAGGGGGGACGATCATCGACGAAGGAAAGCGACGATACTTCACGTTCGTCTTACAAACCACTTTGCATTAATTATATTTGAAGAATTCCTATGTCGCGTATTTTTAGATAGAAGGAAATTAAAGAAATGATTATGAGTTACCTAAAAATTGTCGAGACATTTAATTCTTATAATCTGATAATTCTGATATCTTTGTTCGCCTATAATATTCGAACTGAACAGTCTACAAGATAAGAATTATTTTTTTGATACTGAATAATGAGAAAAATAATGAATGTCATAATTTTTGTGAAGTGTCGCTGATGTCATCTGTCTCCAAATCATTACGGCGCACGCTAAGACCTTTGTTTTTAAATGGTAGTTATTAGCAACATGGTGTTCTTCAGCCACCGAACTTCTCCATGCCTTTCGTCGTCGATTCGCGTTACTCTTGTTGCCGCTGTGTTCTCCGTCCTTGTTCATCCATTTGGCAGTTTGATAATGCAGCCAGCTAATGGGTCAGAGAGACTTTGGGCATCGGTTAGAGCTGTCCGAGGGTTGATGCTGCTAGTTCCGTCGGTGGACGCGAAACGAAGGAACGAGGTAACGGTCGCGATCTTTCTCTCGCGGACGTTTCTCGAGGGAGAACGATAAAGACGAGAAAGGAGGGGTACGAGGGAGAGAGGAAGGGCGAAAGTTTGCCAGGGGAAAAAGAGGAAGAAGAAGGCCGGAGCGGCAGCGGTAATGACAGGCCGTCCGCTCTCGAAGCTAATATAGATGAATGCCCTGCCCTCCTTGCCCTCCGGAACCAACGCGAAGAGATGAACGTGGAATCGCTCTCTTTCCCTTCTCTTTCCACGCCGGCATCTGTCCTCGTATTCCACCGAATCTTCTTTCCTCTATTCTCGACGAATGACCGCCAGTCAACGATTTCGACGTTTTCGTTGAAATCAAAGAAGTACGCGAAAGCTCCGTCTGATTCCCTAAGTTCATCCCTTAAGGGGGTAGATAGTCTCATTGATAAGCCAGAATGTCAATGATATCTACAAAATTGGGTAAAAATATAATTTTCCGGTACTACACTTTTCATTCTCATACAAGAAGCCTTTCGTCATTGTATTGGAAAGTTTTTTAGATCGTTAGATAC